AAAGTGCCTAAATATTTGTATTTGCTAACTCGATCGATAATTTCATTGTGTCAATATAAATTTTGGACATTTTGTGTTGATTTCGATATTACATTAATTTAGTTTTCTTTATGTTCAAAGATAGTCCATATTCTTCGCTGCAGTCCGCTATCTTATTCACCAATGTCTGTAGGTCTTCAAGTGTTTCTGCGATCAGAACGGTGTCGTTGGCAAATCTCAAGATTGTTTAATCTAACACCATTTATTTTAATACCTACGGATTACTCAGAGAGTGTTCTATTCACTACCTCTTCGGAATAGAGAGTATACAGGGTTGGTGATAGTATACACCCTTGTCTCACACCTTGCTTTATTTCAATTTCTTCAGTGGTATTATTCTCTACTCTCACTACTGCTTTCTGATTGTAGTACATATTTACTATTAGTCGGATGTCTCGTTTATCTAAATTCTTTTCTGTCAGGAGTCTGATTAGGTGATCATGCCGCTCTTTATCAAAGGCCTTGTTGTAGTCTATGAAACACATGAATACATCTTGATTCATGTCAAGACATCTCTGAGACATAACGTTCAGTGCAAACAACGCCTTTCTTGTTTCGAGTCCATCTCGAAATCCAAACTGAGTATTATTGATGTCCATTTCCAGTTTTCTGTGTACTCTAGAGTGTATAATTTTCAGGAATATTTTCAGTACATGGCTCATTAGATTGACTGTACGGTAATCACTACATTGTTTGGAATTTTTTTTTTGGTATAATAACAAAGGTGGATGAAAGCCATTCTTGTGGTATTTTTCCTGATGTATAAATGCTATTGAAAAGTTGAACTAAAATATGAATCGAGTCTTTTTCTATTAGCTTAAGGATTTCCATTGGTATTTCATCTGGACCTGGGGCTTTACCATTTTTCATTCTTTTTAGTGCGTACATTACTTCCTTTTCCATTACTTCTGGACCTTCGTCTCCTTGTATGTTACTTAGATCAGATTGTTGTTTATCATCTACAAAGATTTCTTCAATATAGTTTTTATATGTCTTTAACTGTTCTTCTAGTTCTGTTATTATGTTTCCATTGACATTATACAGGATATTTGGCTGCTTACGTTTTTGTGTAGCTGCAAGTTCTTTCAATTTTTCATTAAAAATATCATGTTTTTTCTGCAATTGCTCTATTTCTTCACATTTTCTTTTATAAAAATCTTATTTTGCTATTCTGATGTCTTCCTGTATTTGTTTATACCTTTGTTCATTTTTTCCTTTCATTATTCTCCGATTGTCCATGAGAAGAAGGATCTTATCAGTCATCCACCTTTGCTTTATTTTAGGTTTTTCTTTAGTCAGAATTTTCTTCATAAGACCTGTTATCGCCATTTTTACGTTTTGCCATTTTTTATCTATGTTGTTCGTCCGCTGAACTGTTTCTTTTTCATGAAGTATTTTAAAATTATTAGTAATACATTTTTGCAGTTTCTCCTTTACCTCCAGGTTACATAAATGACTGACGTCTATCTGATTTGCTCTTCTTTTCTGCTCCAATCTTTTTAGTTTAATACTCATTTGCGCTATTAGAGGGTTATGGTCTGAAAAGACATTTGCGCCTGGGTAAGCTTTAACGGATTTTAAGGGTGATTTCCACGTATAAAGGCTTCTCTTTGGTAAGTTAAAGAATGTATTAGATAAAATCATGTTATTCTACTGACAGAATTGAAGTAATCTGTCACCTCGTTCATTTCTTTTACCGAGTCGGTATTCTCCTACATGTTTGCCACTTTTCCTTTACCAATTTTTAAGTTAAAATCACCTAGAATTACGGTTTTGTCGATTTTAATACTTAATTGATTTCTTCGTAGAAATGTTCAATTTTGTCCTCGGATTTGTAGGTGCATAGATCTGTATGATATTTAGTTTACTTGTGTTTGTTTGTAGTTGGAGAAATAAGAGCCGATCTGATACTGGAGTAAAATTAATGACCGACTGCATCATAGACTTAGAAACGAAAACGGCTACGTCGTGTCTGTGTTGAGTATTACTGTTTCCGGAGTAATATACCGAGTAATATACCATGCCCTTTGTTGTCGAAAAACTGCCAGAATTTGGCCGCCTTGCCTCACTAATGCCTAGAACGTCGACATTTAATCTTTGTATTTCTTGTATTATATAAGGCATTTTGCCTGGATCATACATACTCCTGTTGATATTCCCATGATCAGTGGTTGACGTGGCTTTTTGTTGTACAATCATGATGATCGTACTAGAGATATCCATGATGGATCTTTAATGTATTGGTTTCTCCTTTCCTTCTACATCCTTATGCCGTTGACTAGTGAATAGTTCTTCCACCTTTAGTGCAAATTTCTTGACCCCAGGACAAAGGAGTGCCCTTTCACTTGCATACCATCCGAAGTTGGTCAACAAGTGGGGACTGCTTATTCCGGCAGACACTCGGTCGCCAGAGTCTCGTCAGTTATCTAGCAGAGTGCACCGGATGATTAAGATCAAAATCATCACACGGGCAGGTGAGGTTGACACTTGGGTTGGGAGAGGCTGTATGTTGCGAGTCACTATCCCTTACACCCCTTTTAATAAAATCAGTACTCCGACAAATAGTGCAAAGGTTTCTGAAGTGAAAATCACACGTACAAGACGGGCTTCTAAAGTGCCTAAACAGTAGAGTATGGGCCACTTGAGCCTGGGAAAATTTTGTATCTCAATAGCATTGTAAGCTCCTCCCACTTTGACCTTTGACCCCGCAGCCCTCGCAACCGCAGCCATCGCGGCCGCAGCCACGTGGACCGCAACCCTTGTGACCGCAGGGGGTGAACATTAATAAATTTACGGCGTAATCGCATCGATGACGTAATCGCATCGGGTAGGAATTAAATGTTGGTTTTGTAAATTATTTTTAATTAAACGTTGTTTGAATCATGTGTGTAAAAAGATGTAAGGGTTATGTAGCAGCGTGTATTTAATTGGTTACTTTCGATATGCTATTTTGCGGAACATATTTTTATTAAAACTAGTTGAAGACCACAATCTCGAAGTACGATAAGGATACAAATTTGTATATAGGTATTTTGATAGGCTGTTAGGAGAAACACTCAAAATTGATAAAGTTAAAGGCTAGAAAGGAAAGAAAACCGCAGAGCTGCTAGGGTGAGATAAGAAGAACTGCAGTATACAAATAAACGTATGGCACAGATATGTACATTAACAGGAAACGTTTGTATATTAGATAAAAAATAATCGTAAATTGCAATGCGTGAATAGATGCTACCATATCATTCAGAATAACAATTTATGTATTTATTGCAGAGCATATAAGTTTAAAAATTACAACACGAAAAAATAGCACTTAAAAGGCTTAACTTAGGACGGCGTACAAAGTATATATGAAGACGAATGAATGGTATAAATCAAACATTACTGCTTGACATGGACAACAATGATCGTTTTTCATTATGACCAAATCAGTGAGGTTATCGGTTATAGACATCATCGTCTAATGTTTAGGGATTAACCATCTAACAAGGGATGTGAGACGTGAAATGTCACGTGAAATGACGTGAATGTTGCGACATTCGACGCGAAATGACGTGAAAGATGATGTGACATTCGACGCGGGACATGACAGTTATGTGAATAACAAAACCAATGACACTGCCAAAACAGCACTATATCGTATCTTTGTTGCTATTGATCCGATTGCAATGTATGAAGCGTCAGACGAAAGGTGAGAGGATAATGAATATGTCAAGATAAAAAACAGACACAGAGACATTGCCGAAACGGCATAACAACATATCTCTGTTTCTATCGGTCAGATTGCTACATGGAACATGGTATATGAAAGGGGAGGGGGTAACGAATATGTTAAGATAAAACCAGCTAAAAAGACAATGCTAATACGACACTATATTCCATCTTCTGCGATAGTTTTTCGATTTTAACGATAAAAGCGTTAAACGAACGAGGATGGGGTAATGAATATAAAAACAGACCTCATCGAAAAAAGCTTCTCTATCTCGAAACAATTCATATGATATGTCATTGAAATGGATATAACGTACAGCAGCGGCTATCGCTGGAAATAAAACGAATAGGAACGTATACCATTCTTTACATATGACCAAACCACCGAAAGTGTCTAGGTATACATGTATTTCGTCTTACACACACACACACACACACACACACACACACACACACACACACACACACACACACACACACACACACACAGACACACACACACACAGACACACCTACACATACATACGCACACACATACACACACATAATGCATACGTAACACACGGACCAGCAGAGACGTAGAAAGTATCGCGTAATGACTCAGCGAAATGGTAAAATCAAATATAATGTCACATGGAAAGACCGTAGCTCATTCTCACATTATGACCAAACCACCGAAAGTGTCTAGGTGTACACGTCTTGAATCTTACACACACATACACACACACATACACACACACACACACATACACATACACACACACACACACACATTCCACCATATCTCAAGGAGAGGATATAACGAATATATTAAGGTAGAAAAAAACAAACCGAGAGTCATAGCAGAGGGTATCAGAGAACAGCAAAGCATCATAGCAGAGGGTAGCAGAGAGAGTGGTAGAGAACAGCAGAGCGTCATAACAGAGGGTAGAGCGCCATAACAGAGGGTGGCAGAGAACAGCAGAGCGTCATAGCAGAGAGGAGGGTAACAGAGGATCACAGAGAAAAGACAAAATACACAACAGCGTATAGATTAAGTAATATTATTATAAGTATACAAGTAGGTTATTTTAAAATAGACTAGCGTCATATCAAGAAGACACTACGCCGTATCATCGTTCTTCTTCTTTTCGTCTATCACTTCTTGAAATATACAGATTATATAGTTAGAAATGCAAAGCAATTCATGTATCGCTGGAAAGGCAGAGGAAATTTGTAGAGTACGTTATTGTTTACAGAATAAAAAACAAAAAAAATAATTATTTTTATTATTATTAATGTAAAGTTCAAAATGTTTATTCATTATCTTCATTGTCTTCTTCATCGTCTTCATTATCGTCACCATCTTCACCATTGTCATCTTCACTATTGTCTTCATCATCGTTTTCATCAATGTCTCCATTATCGTATTTATTGTTGTCATCATCTTCATCATTATAATCATAATCATCATCATCATAATTATAATCATCGATTCTTATCCCCAAATCCCATAACCATTGTTCAATATCGTTATGCCAGAGGGGTCTACCGCTAGTATGGTCTATCCCAATGTCACTAATCGATGTCATTATACCAGGGTGAGTGATCTGAAAGAAAAAATATTTGTATTGCTGCATGGCGACTGATCAGCTCAGGTTGCGTAATCTATAACATAAAAATCAATATTGTTACATGATGATTTCAGAATATAATGATTGTGTTGGTTTCCAAGGCACCCGTGAGGTACAACACACGCCTCGTTGGTGTTTTATCGTGGACACCATCCCCAAGAGGCCTACAACCACCAAATCTCCTCAGAGAAATCAAACATGTAAATTAGATGTTGAATCAAGATACATTTTTGATGCATAGAACAAGCGATTGTTTGCCTCACATACCAGTAAGTAACCAGCAAAGCTGCAATAATGTTACAAATTCCCAAATCTTTTTGAATATATTTTAAAAAATATAGGAAATGGTTCAGCAGGTATCTTTTATTGATTCGTCGGGGGTCTTATTTTTATTAACATTATTTATATTACATTGTTAAAAATGCTAAAAGTAATCGCTCATTAACTACTCTATGACCCGTATCGAATATCTTTTAGTGACCTTAACTGAACATCTTTTTTATCTATATAAATCTATATGGTTCAGCAGGTATCTTTTTATTGATTCGTCGGGTATCTTTTTTTATTAACAATATTTATATTACATTTATTAAAGCACAGCAGTAGATAATACAAGTGCTAAAAAGAATCGCTCATTAACTATTCTATGACCCGTATCGAACATCTTTTAGTGACCTTAACTGAACCTTTTTTTTTAACTATATAAATCTATATGGTTCAGCAGGTATCTTTTATTGATTCGTCGGGTATCTTTTTTTATTAACAATATTTATATTACATTTATTAAAGCACAGCAGTAGATAATACAAGTGCTAAAAAGAATCGCTCATTAACTATTCTATGACCCGTATCGAACATCTTTTAGTGACCTTAACTGAACCTTTTTTTTTAACTATATAAATCTATATGGTTCAGCAGGTATCTTTTATTGATTCGTCGGGTATCTTTTTTTTATTAACAATATTTATATTACAGTTTACCAAAGCACAGCAGTAGATAATATGAGTGCTAAAAAGAATCGCTCAATAACTACTCTATGACCCGTATCGGATATCTTTTAGTGATCGTAACTGAACATCGTGTAATGATCTAACAAAGCAAATTTTTAAGCAGGTAGGACGAGTAACCACTTACTACTGCTTTTAGTAACCCACCTTTTCAGTGTGACAGACAATCGTTTGTATCACAAAGTAGAGGAAAAAATTACTCTGCTGAAAACAAAACAAATTAATATATTAGTATATAAATTAATAATTAAAAAAATGTTATTTTTGAGTTTTAAAACCGAAAGGTATAGTTGTAAAATCACCAAAAAAAAAGTATTTGGGCTATATTTATACTTTGAGTTTTTTAAATCCGAAAGGTACGGAGGTAAAATCTTCAAAAAATTTTCTTTTGATCGAATTTGGTCTATAATTTTTTTCTATATTACATGTTAGTACTTCATGCTCTTTCGTTCGTCTGATTTGTTTACCAATAATTTGTATAGGTTCTGATTTGGTTAGAACCATCTCTTTTATTTTATTAAAATTAATTATTTTAGACGCTGCGTAATTAAGAGATATTCCCTTTACTTTGCAACAAATTTTCTCTTCCCCATTAGGAAGAATGTATCGATAGGCATAATTTTTTGGCCCTCCAGAAACGAACTCTGAAATATATCCCCCACTCAACTCATCAGTAAGATCACCGATACATTCACCAGTAGGTAGGTCCGGTAATCCTATTCTGGAAATGTAAATACACGAATCGGTATCGTAATATAAAGCCCTTTCATTCACCATCTCTAAATAAGAGTACAATTTTAGACGAGCCAAGGCAGTAACGTATGATGCTAAAACAACATTAACTGTGGAAGACATAGAAGACGCTTCCTCCACATACTCCCACGTAACAACAAGTGTTTCCTCATTCACAGGAACCACTGTATTGACATGAAGGGAAGGGTTAACCAACATTGCAAAAAATTCTCCAGGTTTGTTAACAATGGAGGTTTTAGGAAGATTTTCTCGCTGCGCAAACTTACCCCAGAACGAATTAAGCATCAACTTTGCCAACGACCTCAGACCGGGGTTCTCCGTTATTTCGGAAAACTCCAGCCTAACATCTTCCCTCTGGAGAAACTCATCGATGTATCGGTTCTTTTCCTCAGTCAATACACAACCTCGCGGCCAACCTGAAGCCTGTTGCTTGACTTTGATAAACTTGTTCATCATGTCAGAAAACAGACCTTTTTCAGTGTTCGACAGCTGAATAGTATTATAACTCCATATCTCATATATCTCTAGCATCTTATATCCTTTCGATAACGCTTTTATCACCTCTTCCACAACCCACGTACCAGTTAAAGATCTCTCGTCAGCAGAATGTTCGCATTCTCCTTGAATGAAATCTTCACCGCACTTACGACAAAGAACAAACATGCATTTACTGTTCATTTTTGCAGGAAGAACAGGGTGATAAAGATTGGTAGGAGGCAATATCTTACACTTAATTATCCCCGATACCTTAGATAAATCGACAGTCTGACACTCCTCTCCAACATGCACTTTAGGGTGACCCACAGGAAATTTACCCCTTTTGCATACCCACGGATACAACGAGCAAACATCCACATATTTGACTTTTTCACCTTCTTTACATTTGTAATACACCACAGTATTACCTGTACGACCACCATACAGAGCATCTCGAGGATTCAGGGGTAAAGTTGTCATTAGGGGGTGACTTTCAGTATATAATTTTATCTCTGGCGTCATCATTTTACGGAAAACACATTCCCACATCTCTACAATCTCGTAACCTAGAGATTGTAAGTGTTCCTTTTTAGCAACTGTTTTATCATGACGATTCTCCATACAATCGGAAGGATCATCATGAAGAGGAGCAGTTCTATTTTCGGGATAACAAGTAGGACATCCATGATAGTAACAACCTTGGAATTCAAAAACTATCTTTTCGTAAAGACCGTCCACCTTACAATTACCAATAAGAGCTTCAGGGCCCCTAGCAGCATGTTGAATGTTAATACCACGCTGTTTTTCTTCCCACAACAACCATTGCAACGATATTTTGGAGTGATTATCTTTGAAGCGATAACCACCCTTTGGAATAAGACCTATGGTGTCAGGCTGTAAGAAATTACGCCTAAACACTTTATTACAAGTCGAGGCAACAGTTGTAGCTTCCAGGAAAGGACAAACACTCGATGTATCGATCAACTGTTTCCTGAAAATAAGACAAGATTGCGTCAAAATTTCAACATCTGAAATACAGTACTCAACGATCTCTTTCTGGAAATCAAAGATATAACCTTCAAACACTCTCTTACTATGCCACACTATTAAATTGTCACGTGCTTCTTCCTTCAAATTATCGGGGTCATAAAAATCAAGAGAAGGCAGTGGGCCAACATAATTTTGATTTTCCTCTCTGTTAAACAGGTGAGGAAAGTATCCTTTTTTTAATTCTACCAATCCAAAGGCCTTAGGAAGAGCAGACAACGCCATCGGGAAATAATTTAAACTATCGAGAAACCGAACATTACCAACAGACATGGACACCAACTTTGTACCTCGCATAATGAGATCTGGGGTTAAGTCAGTGTTCGTGAGAATATGATTCAAAACAAATTGGTGATCGAAACCACCTCCATTGTGAGCCAGAACAACAACATTCTTGAATTTTTTTCTAATTTCGAGAATATGATTCATAAAAAGTGTTATTACATCAAGGCCACTTAAAACTTTTTGTCGAAATCCGCAGGTATGGCAGAAAACTAACCTAACCTCAAGAAGACAGTTAACACAACGTTGATTAAATACACAAAGATTCGGCTCTTGAAGAAGCGAACCGTCAGCCATTAATTTGTCTTGGCGAGTTTCCAGGTCGTAGAAAATGAAGAGAAAATCTTTAGTTGGCGGAGCGCCAGTGTCGGGTTGCATATAACAAAGATGTTCAGAAGAACATTTCTTTTTACAAGTTTTGCAATAAACTTCACCGCATACATGATTTTTGGTGTACATTTTGTAACACTCCTTGCACCTCTTAATTTTATCGCATACAGATCCTAGGTGAGCATTGAAACATGTTTCACCGTAGAAGCTACGACCACATTTCTCACACGAAACTTTTACAACACTTTTAGAACAAGCTGGTGAACGACGACAAGCAAAACACGTGCCGCCACACCTATGTTCATTTTTATTATTGTAAGGATGATGACACGCCTCGCAATAGTACCGACTGACAAACACAGATGTCAAAGAAGTGATGACATTGTAATGACCCTCGTGATGGAGTAAATTCAATGATGGACCTACGCCATTACCTTCGAAGATAACATCACGACCCTTATTACCATAAGAGTACACGGTAATCTTATAATCTTTTAGGTAACTCTGAAATTTTTGCAATTCAGGAATACCACCTCCCTCACTAGGAATAACAACACCAGCCCCATTTATTAACTGCACCGCTCTTTCTCTTTGTATTTTTCCAATATCGCGCCGTATTTTTACAAATTCAGGGTCTTTGTTCACGTAAGCTTTAGCTACAACCAATGCTCTAGGGAGACACAGGTTATCTTTATTATTAATAGCAATGATACCCTTACGCTTTGAACATTCCTCATTGAAAGAGTTATAATTGTAACCACGGCCTTTTCCAGTAGGCATCTTTACGGTGGTAATACCGAGACAAAACGTTTCAGTATTGAGACCGGTGCTATTGCTCTGATATATGGAACTTATTTTATTCCATATATCGTCAACGGTAACTTCAGAAGCAGGCCTGAATCTCATCCAACCCTGACCTCTGGCAAAATCCTTACTGCAAAACGTGAAACCAACCTGATGATGTGGTAGAATATTTTCAGTACCCTTAACCACTATCCCCTCGATGGCCTTTTTAATCCAACCTATAGGTTCGGCACCCTGAGGGATGGGCCTAATTTTAAATTCTAAAGTTCGTCCCTGGACGCCAAATTTACGAATTTTCTTAACATTGTCTTTAACAATTATAAATTTGTCCATTATTTAGTTATTAAAGGATAAAATTTGTAAAAATCGAAAAAATATAGACCAAATCAGACAACAGTACTAAAAAATAAATTTTTAAAATTCAAAAATTTTTCAAAATTTTGTTACGCTTACCAGAGCACACGTCTGAATGCTAGGATTATCTGAAACAGAATAAGGACAATACCTTAATGCATGGTAAAGGTAGACTTTGGTCAGACGGAAAACTGAATGGTACTATGTTATTGTCACAAGGCCCTTGAAATGTGTAGATTTGTGCTTGTTCTTACATAAGAATCAATGTAAAAGTGCTGCATTTTACACATTTATTGAACTTGGTTATATTTTTTCCTACTCAGCTACGAGAGATACAAGGAAGTATCAGTACTACCAACATAATACAGCAAGTACTATAAACACTGTATACCAACTTATTCGAAATTTGAGATATAAATACCCAAAAATTTTGATTACTCTATACCACTTTCATCGCTAACACACTCGGAATATTACCAACAAGTTTTCATTTCATCGAATAACAGTCAAAGCAGATACTTCGGTTGTTCCAGTATGAAACAGTACATTCAGTTAAACTTGATCAAGACATGTATCGAGCAAGAATTTATTCGAGCCAGCTACGCAGGCGCATGTTTACCGGCTAGTTTAATCTTTCACGAAGTTGCCAGGCAGTATGGGATTATGACAAACGTGGTAGTAGGTGCAAAGTTCTACTCAAATGAAATTGTGATTACGTCCCATTTCTGGAATGAACATAATGAGATAGTATTCGATCCAACAGATGCAATTACAGAACATCATCTACCTCATCAAATGGAATTTAAAATGAACAAAGGAATGTTTATATGTAAAAGCGGCGAAGCCCGAAAAATGATCTATTTATCATGATTTTAAGAAAAGCAAATCGACAGCATATTTTAAAGAGGCTCCAGCGTGTCTACTGGAAATATGAAAAAACATTTATATTACTGTAGCAAAGATACTAGGAAATAAATAAAAGTAATGTTTAAAGTAATTGTTTTTATTTATAGTTTGGAACTAATAAAAAATGATTATTTATATAATTGGGGGTCTCAAACACTTGTAGATACGTGATCGATACCTTTAGAAAAAGGCTAAAGAGTACAAATAATGAATCATAAGAGCGAGGGAGAGAGATTGAGAAACATGGGTTTTCTTTTCACATACTTAAAGATAAAACTAGTACATCTGTTACGTATATGGCTTAGAATAACTTATACGAAAGATGCAAGTTAGTATCAGTAGAGCCAACATAAAAAGAAGCAATACTGCCAACTATGAAAAAAGAAATTTATTAGAAATTAAAAGATACTCTGTGCTGATTAAATGGGTGTAGGTACATATAACTAAAAACACCATAGTTTAACTTAACCCAGTTACTTATGTTACAGGAGAACGACACAGCAAGTAACAACAGAGCTTTACGTCACGCTTCTACGTCCCAGGAAAACTACAGAGCAGATAACAACAAAGGATACTAAGATATGCAGAGACACATTGATAAACAACCATAGACGTAAGTATAGGAGAACAGAGAACAAAATAGCTTTACATCACGCTTTTACACCACAGAAGAACAACACAGCAGATAACATCAAAAGGAACAGAGGATCACAGAGATCATCAAAAGCACATGCGCAGAAGAGAACAGAAGTTAGCAGAGATAGGTAGACACTAACAGAAATATGTTGACAGAAGGGCATAGAACATACATTTATGAACCATCACTTTATGTCTTAGATTTAAAATGTGAAACCACACACTGCGCTGTCATCAACGAGTTAGTGTCTAGTCAGAGTTGTCTAAGTCCAGTGAGGATCAAGTCTGGCAGTAGTCAACGTCTAGTTAACGACAAATCAAAGACATGTCAGCCTATAGTCTGCATCTTCATCGTCCTGTCAGCAACAAGAAAGCATCCAGTCAGCAACAAGTCTGTCCGCACTCTACAACAAGAAAGCGTCCTGTCAGCAACAAGTCTGTCCGCACTCTACAACGAGAAAGCATCCAGTCTGCAGCACCGTAGACCGCTAGTCAGCAGGTAATAACTAGAGCTGTTAACTACAGAATCGACATTTAGTCACAGGATGTTGAACAGAGAACAGCGTATTAAGCAGCTTGCTAAAATTATTGGAACAAAGTACAAAGCTCTCAAAAGAATGCAGAGTGATCAACAAGAACATCTCGAAACAATTTTCACACCTATAACTGAACCTCTTACAGAAATAAACAATTTTCTAAAAACTACACATCAATCGGAAAATCATGAAGACACTAGCGAACATCAAAACAATCATCTGAACAATACACAGCAGAAGGATGAAGAGAGCTCCGATGAAGAACACCTTCAAAAATATTGGCATCATTCGCCAGATATCGACCGAAGTTATGGGCCACAGTATGTTTGGAAAACTGATAAATGGGTAATGGGTGATAAGGAAATAAAATTTACTCCTAAAAATATATGGGTTAATAATAATCAGTATAAAGCTACTAATGGATTATATAATTTAATATTTTACAAGGAACCGCAAGACTTTACGCCAAACGATTGCATTAACTATAAAAAAATATTAGAAGTCACAGGTATTCATCGAGATTCCCGAGGATATTTGAGACATCAAGCATTCCCAGACAAGTTCAAGAAAATTATCAAACCCATGTATGTTGAAGAAGAAAGAAGAAGAAGAAGAAAACCCTCGTCAAGACATTGTTTATCAACTAAAGACATGGAGCTGCTAAAGACGAGTTCAAATGAAAACGTTGAAGCGAAAAGGATAAACCATTATATGGAAAGCAGCACAGCCAAAAACGAGTCAAAAACAAATCAGAGACCAAGTTCTGAAAGTGGACAGCTGTACGAGTCATTGAACAAAATGTGGCTCCTCTATAATGAAAACAACGATCCCAATTTCCTAGTAGATGGACTTAAACTCATGCCAGATGCATTAAGTAGCCACGAAGCAATGAAAATTATCGCTGAATTACAAAGCTTGGATATCATTGAATAAAACATACATTAAGAAGAGCATATGTTTCAGAGAAAATAATTAATAGTATTTAATATAAAATATAAAAGATTGTACATATTTACACTTTAATAAATCAAATAAAAGTCGACTAATGCTAGATATTTTCTTTCATCTCCAACAGCACCATCCTAACTCTCGCAGATACAATATAGTATACAACTCGTATTTTAAAATGAATCATGGCATTACCTAAGTTTCGAACATAGTATGCAATGTCGATAAAATTTAACATAACATCGTCTAAGTGCCTTAGATAAAATATAGTATGCAGCTCTTGGTCATATATTTATCATTATTTTTCTAAAAAGAAAAAGTATGATAGACATGTGAGATAAAAGCCGCTATTTTCGAAATAAAACGAAAAATCAATTAAAAATATCAGGACAGATTTAACCAACAGTTAAAAACGCATGAAAGAAAAAATACATTAAATCAAATTAGAAATAAAAAATTAACCGTAAAATCATATACTATTATCTTAATATAGAGAGTAAAAACCTCTCTCATTTATTTGCATAACAAGGAAATGATAAAAGAAGAAGTATAGTAGAAATGTATCATAAAGAGCTGTTATTTTTAAAATAAAACGTAAAGTCAGTTAAAAATATGGGGTGCATTATACAATTTAGAAAAACGCAAGAAATACTAAAATAATTATATTTGTCATTATTTACTAAAGAAGAATCACCTACCTTTTATTATTCACACACACACACACTATATAACTGTACACTTGTATAAAAGTAAAAAATGCGGTTTTGGTATCATTTTTACTTCATAACACATGCAGTCTTATCAGAGGCTTCATCCTGTTTATAACTAAAATGAATAAAATAAAATTGAAATATATTGTGTATTAAAACTATTTCTATAAAAATCCAAGTCTTCGATTATTATTAATTTTATACAAATATAATGTTTTTAAGGACAATAATTTTTATGTCTTCGATTTTGGCACTTTTATACGTGAATGGTCAGTATACACTAATATTGGTTTCACATTTCTGAGTACCCTGTCCATTGCGCACGTTAGCTATTAACATGGCAATTCTGATCTTGCTTTCGGAACTTCGGAATAGCTCGACTGATGTGCACCCTAAAACCATTTCCACCGATTTGGACCCATGACTGTCTTCTCTTGCCTAATCCGCGCTTACTATCTATTTTATCCTAGATAATCAATTGCAGTATACGATATTTATCGTGTCTTGATATAAGGCTTAGATATTCAAGTGTTCTTTGTTTAATTGTGTTCACGATTTCTTTATCTTTTCCGATTCTGCGAATTATCTCCATCTTGGTACCATGTTCGGTGAAGAATGCGTCGGTACACCCGCATCTCGAGTTTTCGGTGAGCGTCTCAGTTAGCGTCTAGGCCTCCACGTTTGTAGATAAATTTTATAAAGATATAATGTGTATTAGTACAAGAGAATTGGGAATTTGGCGTTGGTTCGTCTGATGATGTTTTTAGCCATAAATAATGATCGCATCGCACTTGGTTAGTGATTTCCGTAATATGCATGAAAAGACCTTTCTAATGGTATACTGCACGGAGCACTTGGTGTAAAATTGAGCGAGTTAGGATTTGCTAGAGATCAAACTGCGATAAGAGATTTTTCTATGCCAATGGTTTTGTTTTAATGTCAATAACAATAAATAAGCATTAACAGTTCGACCAAGTTATCGCAACGGCCTTTATGGCATTGTACCCTATATATTTTGAACGGATATGCGGAAATCGACGTATGACCCATCAAATTACAGGATTTTGAATGATGAATTACATTGTGATGTCTGATTTAAGGAAATGTCATGTATAAGGTCTCTTTGACACCCTATCGTTTATTATTAACATTAATTGTCGAATCTGATCGTATGACACCTCAAATTACAGGATTTCGAATGACGAAATACGTTGTGACGTCTGTTCTAACAAAATGATATGTTTAAGGCCTCTTGGCGCCCTATCATATATTTTTATTTGATTATATATAAATTTATGCTTATACAATTATGAATCAGTATTTTTTTTTGTATGTAAACCAGGATGAAGGTGTGTTTAATATGTGTGCTGCTGCTGCGTTTCACAGCAGCAACAGAAAGCCTTTTCCGAAAACGATGCTAAGTCGTTTTTATCAGCTGTCGTGAGTAAATCAGTATGATTTTTCTTTGGTCCTTGCAGTTGTATATCTGATGTATCTTGACCATTCTTGGATATATGTCTTCTTTTACACTGTTGTATGTCTGATGTACCTTCTAGTTGATCCTTCTTTGATAATGTTCTGAAACTACTTTCTTGTGGTTTTCCTTCTTTGATAGTTGTCTTCTTTTACACTGTTGCTGTATGTCTGTTGTATTTTGGTCATTCTTGGATCTTTGCCTTCTTTTACACTGTTGCTGTATATTTGCTGTGTCTTCTACTAGACCTTGTGTTTCGGGGCATGAAAGGTCTGTGGCCTTCTTCTTCTTCTGCTTTTACCTAGATACATCGGTTTAATATTTATTTGTGTGAGATTGATGACGTAGTCGACCTCCTCCATTCTTGTGCCCTGCTTGTTTTACACATTCGAACCTCTTCTGTTTTAAGGTGTGTTTTTCGTTATATTTGCTTTTTTCTATAGGTATTCTTTTTTTGACTGAAGTTCACATAGTTTTATTGTATTTTAACATATTTCACAGAAGTTCAGTCTTTTGTCTCGTTTATTCAAAGATTACGTCTATCAGTTATTTGGCAACGTTTTTGATGTTCTTTGCTATTTGTCGCTAATTTTATGTCTCATCTGCTGGTGTCTGATGGTTTTCTGTGTGTACGTCTGTGACCATCTGTCAGGATGTCCCTGCTGGTGTCTCATGGTCTCTGTGTACGTCTGTGACCTTCTGTCATTATGTCTCTGCTGTTGTCTGTTTGTCTCAGGTACCCCATGTGTACGTCTCAGGTACTGCAGTTAGTAATGAACGTGGTATGGAATAATCAAACACCTCTCCTGTATCTTTCACGAACTGTTTCGAGGTAGAAGAAGAACTGTTTTGACTATACCCTGAACAAGAAGCGATATACCGAATGAATGTATTTTCTATGATGACCGATAGGTGCTAGATGGCTTGGTCATAGTGAAAGACTGTAGCCAATAAGTGACATGAGAATGCGATTTGTCTGACGAGATTAATAATTGTGATAGACGTAGAATCCTACATTAATTTGACACGTCAAATAGGTTCAATAGCAACGAATATATATTATAGCGCCGTTTGGCAATGTCTTTGTGTTTGTTTTTTTTTCTCTTAGATAATCTTTGTTCATTTAACGCCTCAAACAATAACGCCTTCAACGTAGTACTCTGACCAATAACAACAAACATATGATATACGCCCGTTTTGACAATGTCGTCATGTTTGGTTTTATTTTGTCTTAATGTATTCGTTACCACTCCTCTTTCATTTTAACGCTTTAAACGTAGTAATCTGACCAATAACAACGGAGATAAAATCTAGTGCCGTTTTGTCATTGTCTTTATGTTTGTTTTTTTGTTTTAACCTAGTCGCTACCTCCACCTCTTTTCGTTTGACGCCTCATACGTTACATTTGGACCAATATCAACGAAGATATGATATAGTGCCGTTTTGGTAATGTCTTTGTGTTGGTTTTTTATCTTGACGTATTCATTATCCTCTCACCTTTCGTTTGACGCTTCATACGTTGCAATCGGATCAAAGATACTTTCGGTAGTTTGGTCATAATGTGAGAATGAGCTACGGTCTTTCCATGTGACATTATATTTGATTTTACCATTTCGCTGAGTCATTACGCGATACTTTCTACGTCTCTGCTGGTCCGTGTGTTACGTATGCATTATGTGTGTGTATGTGTGTGCGTATGTATGTGTAGGTGTGTCTGTGTGTGTGTGTGTCTGTGTGTGTGTGTGTGTGTGTGTGTGTGTGTGTGTGTGTGTGTGTGTGTGTGTGTGTGTGTGTGTGTGTAAGACGAAATACATGTATACCTAGACACTTTCGGTGGTTTGGTCATATGTAAAGAATGGTATACGTTCCTATTCGTTTTATTTCCAGCGATAGCCGCTGCTGTACGTTATATCCATTTCAATGACATATCATATGAATTGTTTCGAGATAGAGAAGCTTTTTTCGATGAGGTCTGTTTTTATATTCATTACCCCATCCTCGTTCGTTTAACGCTTTTATCGTTAAAATCGAAAAACTATCGCAGAAGATGGAATATAGTGTCGTATTAGCATTGTCTTTTTAGCTGGTTTTATCTTAACATATTCGTTACCCCCTCCCCTTTCATATACCATGTTCCATGTAGCAATCTGACCGATAGAAACAGAGATATGTTGTTATGCCGTTTCGGCAATGTCTCTGTGTCTGTTTTTTATCTTGACATATTCATTATCCTCTCACCTTTCGTCTGACGCTTCATACATTGCAATCGGATCAATAGCAACAAAGATACGATATAGTGCTGTTTTGGCAGTGTCATTGGTTTTGTTATTCACATAACTGTCATGTCCCGCGTCGAATGTCACATCATCTTTCACGTCATTTCGCGTCGAATGTCGCAACATTCACGTCATTTCACGTGACATTTCACGTCTCACATCCCTTGTTAGATGGT